ATCATTGAAAATCAGACTAACATGCTCTGTAAACTTTTTCGGTATCAGTTAAAATGTGAATTATCAAAAACTATCAGGAAACCCAAGCTGAATGTTGAACAAATGTATTTATTGGATTTATTTGTTTGAAAAAATTAACATAATTGTCCTTGTGCATAAAATGTATAATTAGAAATTTTATCTACTTGACAATAACAAATTCAATATCTGCTGAATATATGAATTCTACCTGCAAATGATATTCTTAAATATTAAATGTGTTTAATTAGCGTTGAATCAAAAACATATACAGAATATCAGGAAAAAAAACACATCTTTCTCTTTTTTCAACAACTTTATAACCTGTCAATACAGAAAAGTATTATTATGATGATATACGTAATGTGAACCTAATTTTAAGAACTTAACGTGGATACACTTACCTAAGGTTCCAGTGGCAGGTCCTGCAAGAAAGAGCTTGTATTTCCCTGCTTCATCGGAGACAGAGAATCCGCCGTACATTTCATACAGCGTTGTACCATTCTGTAGAGTTATGGTCACATACAGGGATGAGGTGTTTTCTTTTGTTAATTGATGGATTACGTCATTTCCTTATTAAAATATCCATTGATTCTTTTTTGAATATAATCATACCTTATTGAATAATCAAATAACTTTCCTGTTTTAAGATATATTCAAAATCAATAGCTATATGTATTACAATAATATTGTTTCGTAGAAATAGCCCAAAGGAAAATAATATTACAATCTACAGATTTTTGTAAATTGCATTGATTAAAACTGTATCAGACTATATATATGCCCATTGTATAATATTTAAATGCATGTTATTAAACTACGTAGATGCAGATATCTATAATCTGCTCCAATATCATGCTTAATTTAGATATACTAGGGTTGTCCGGGAAAATCGTGGAAAAGTTGTTTCTTTTTGAAAATAATGGGAAAACTAAGCTGAAATTTTCAGTATATGTTTATTTATCATATTGAAGTGCATCATAATATTTTGATCAATTATTGACAGAGATCAAGATTTTATTATGCTTGAATGTGTACAGGTATGGTCCTACGGTTCACGGTAAAAACAGCAAAGGTAGTATTAGAGAATACATGAGTATAAATTCGGAATAAAAGATTTAAACACATGAGATTGGGGCTAAAAATTATCCTTATTCGGTTCCACAATTTATTTTGTCGTCTTTTCAGGGCATTTGGTTATTATATTTTTTTGCAGTTTCCTGAGCATTCGAAATGGGAAAGTGGTTAACACAACACACGAAAAAAGTGACGTTTGATGACGTTGCGGCGCAGTTTAGTTTGATTAAGATGGTGTGACGTTTGATGACATAACGGCGCAGTTTAGTTTTATTAAGATGGTGTGACGTTTGATGACGTTGCGGCGTAGTTTAGTTTGATTAAGATGGTGTGATAACATCTTAAGAATCTTTAAATGAAAAAAGAAGAACAGAATTTTAAAATAAAAATCCCCAGATCTTTAGTATAAAAATGTAATGGGGCTTTTCATAGAGAAGTCGTTCTTGATCGAGTCCCCATGTAGTACAAAACATACGGACTGACTACTACTGTAAGAACAAAAGACGCTGTCACTGTTGACCGTCAATATAAGTTATGTAAATTATGGGTGTGCAGATGACACAGACTTGTACGTAGGTATATTTTTCATTTAGCTCAAGCGTGCTTAATGAAATATGCCTACGTGACAATTCTGTGTGATTCACACACCCATAATTCACACAAAACTTAAAAGCATAAGGACTTTCAAAAACTAAAGGACTTTCAAATACGGAAGTCTTTTGAATTTCCATTCTTGTATGTCTTATCTTTCCTTTATTTTATAAAAACTCGTAAATGCATTTTTTATTTACCATTGAACTGGTAAAACAAGAAGACCAAAGCAAGTAGAGTACTGTTTATAATATCCGTGCATCATTTTATTTTTCTTAACTGATTTCAAAATTCAAATGTTTATAAATATCTTGGTTATAATTTTAAACCAATTAAAGAGCCGGTATTGGCTTATATTTACCAATCCAAACTTCCTGTTCCGGTTCACCAAAACCATTTTTGTAGTCTGTCCAGTTCCTGTCAAAGCTGACGGATCCATCGAATCGTTTTTGGATTGCCTTGGAAAGATTTATGTACATTTGTTAGGCTATTTTGGATTGCCGTGTAAAGATGTAGGTACATTTATCAGGCTAGTTTTGGGTTGCCTTGGAACGGTGTATGTACATTTATTAGGCTAGTTTGGATTGCCGTAGAATAATGTATTAAAATTTATTGGGCTAGTTTGGATTGTCTTGGAAAGATGAACGTACATTTATTTGGCTAGTTTGGATTACTTTGGAAAGCTGTATGTAAATTTATTAGGCTAGATTTGATTGCCCTGGAAAGATCATTGTGAATAAATAAAAAGGTGGAGATAGCGAGCAGTGGTTCATCTTTAAAAAAGCAACAACCAATCCGTATCAGTGAACAGGGCATAACCTCCACCCCCACCCTAGGAAATTCGATCTTTAAAAAAGCAACAATCCAGATCATTACATAAATATAGATATCACAATATCATCACATTATCATCACATTATCATCAAAAAGCTCAGATGTAAAAAGAAATCAAAACCTACCGTCCATCCGCCGCCCATTATATCCATATTACAATGAACCTTGACCGGAATGGACTTTATCCCGTGTGGGTAAATATCGTACACGTCCGATTTATCATAACCATTGTCACGAAGTGCCTTACAATCTGAGGGAAGAACTGAAGAACAAAAGTGAGAATTAGGACTTATAATAAGTAAAGGAACATCTTAGATGAAAACTGAGAATTATTTAGGATTTAGATTTAGACCATCTGAAGGAAGAACTCAAATCAAAACTAAGAATTATATAAGATTATGACCTAGACAATAAATAAAATAGTTATCTTCATAATACAACGCTTGAAACGAGTCATAAGAATAAACAATCAAAATAAGGTGGATAAATCGGCTACAAGTGTAAGATTGCAGAAAAAATAAAATAAAAACCAATACATACATTCCGGAAAGTAATACCGCCATCCGTTTTCGTCCGACATTCCGGAGGTGAAGGTCTTCTTGTGGGTCCGGCACTTCTTCAGCGTAGGATTGTACCCGAAGAAACCGCAATCTTTCTGACAGATGGCAGCACACTCACTTAAAGACTGGGCTTTGTGTTGTCCTACAAGTTCCTCATTGGACATTTTGTTATCGAGTTCCAGTTTCGCGGTATATCTCAAGGAGGAGATGGTAGCACGAGAAACTGTAAATAGAGAAACAATTAAACAAACAATACGAATACAGCTCATTTTGTAGTCTCTGGTGTGTATTTACAGCGTTCCTGTAAGAGTTTAGAATTATCCGTCAACTGACGAGTTTAAATATCAAATTATTATTCATTCCTGCAAAACGATTGGCTTGTTATTATGTATTTATTATTTCTAAAGATCGATTGTGTTTAATTCCTGGATTTATTGTATTTTCCCTTCTTATTTACGTGTAACCAATGAAATTAATTTTGTATTAATTGCGTTGTTCATATTTTCCATCTTAAGTCAATGATTTAATTTCAAGAGAATTGCTTGGAATCTATAATATTTTATTTTATCCTTTCTTTAGGTAAGGCAGAGTTATATTAACGTTATCAAAATATGGCAAGCTCTATATAATTTTTCTTTTATAGTTTTGACAATTGTAAATTCTTCTTATTCCTGAGTAAACTTCAGGCAAAGTAAAAATATACCGGTAGGGGTGTCAATGCAATAACAAAACTACGTGAACATTTTACCAAAGCGTCATACGAGAAAAAAAATAAATATTTTTATATGATGTGCTAACGAATTTCCTTTGAAAAATGAACAGAATGAAACTATTCCTTTGCATATGAGATTGAAACAACCTTCAGGATATCAAAAATATTAGAGGAAAAATGGATATACCCCTTATCTAAAAGAATTGCTTTTCTGAAAGATTTTATTCATGTTTCTTTCAAAAAGAGATAATATACGAGGGCCGTTCTAAAATTACGCGGACTTGGTGCACAGAAAAAAAATTTGACGACATAATGGGGCAAAATGTCACACATAATATAAAAGTATCTTTACTTATATGGTCTTCAAAATTTCATATCAAAATGTTGTAAATTGGTATCAATTTTGAGTGATTTTTCAGGACATATCACTAAGTCACGGAACAGCAAAATCTTCGACGTCACAGGCATTATAAAAAATATGAGCTTTCATTTTCTTAACATTTTTCCAAGAGTTCCCGGACAGTTTGAGTTACCTTATCTACTCAACATCTAAATCCCATTTCTTGTCAAGCTTAAAATCTATTTAACAAGTAAACATTATCCTTTTTTTGTTTTAAAACCAAAAACTGCAGGCATTTATGAGATATAGCGTGACATTGGTCACTCTCAATCACTTTCTTTAAAGTCCGGATAAAGTTTTCGTCAATAATTCTCTTCCCGTCCTCCCATATAGCCTTTTTACAGAGGTCTAACGGTCTAAAATTTCAATAAGTTATTTGTGAACAAGTGTCACCAATACCCTAGTCTACTACATGTTTTATTATGCATATTTTGGATCTATTTTGGCGATATCTCGAGCATTACACATAATTAAACAAAAGTGGTGCGCCGTCAATTCAGGAGACGTCATTTTCACAGTCGTTTTTACGGGGATCGCATAAGAGAAAAATCACCATATTTCTGTTACTACTTCAAATATCATGTCAGAAATCTAAATACATAATAATAAAACAGTTTAAAGATATATTTTTAAAAATTGTCGAAAAATATCGCGAATTATAGAAAATTAATGAGTTAAATTTTGGATTCTGCATGCTTTTGCTTCAGTTTTTTTTTTTTGTCTTGCTCCGTACCTCTCCATCAGCGATATCAACATAGCGATAATTTTAGTAGAATAATTCTAAAATACAGAAATTTTGCCCAAAATTTATCGAAATCTTTAGGATACACATTTCTGTGAAATTTCATAACTATATGACGTCTATAAGAGTAAATAATAGTACAGTCCGCGTAATTTTTGAACGGCCCTCGTAGTTCATTTCAAGTTTACACTTTACCTATTTTATATACTTTTTTCTTTTTCCCCTCAAAATCTATGATCCCTATTTTCTGATGAAAGCAATTTTTTGAAACGTTTGGTAAAATTTCAATGATTTAAAGATGATATCCCACAAAATATATTCTATAAAATTGTCTTTCACAAAGTGCGCTACATATCAATTTAGTTTTAACAAACATACTCTTCATTATTACTACTTCCATCTTGCTGTAATTGCTTTATCCCACGAATGTTTAGGTTTCCAACAATTTTTAAAAAAAATGTTTTAAGAGGAAACTTCAGTTGTTATGATATGAAATATATACAAGATAACCCAAAATTTCTCAGATGCAAACAAAAACATTTTTTAGAAACAGTGATTTTTTAAGTAATCTATTCCAGTCCTGCCTTCCTCGCCTTATTCTGCCTCATTAAAGAAACTGTTTGTTTGTAAATGTTATTCTTGAGAACGTTTTCATCATATTGTTATGTCAACTTTTGTCCTTGGGCTCAAACAAAAGCGTACAATAATCAAATTTTGTTTACTATATTAGTAATAATAAAAGATAAAGGATATTGAGATAACGAACAGTATTCAATATCAAATTCCATAAAACAATACAAAATAGAGCAGAGCAAACACGGACCTCCGAAACATCAGAGGTGGGATCAGGTGCCATGGAGGCATCCTTTGCCAACCGGTCACACCCGCCGTGTGCTCCTTGTCATAATCAGGAAATAACAGAAAATTCGGCCGTCAATTTAGTGTTTAAATAACACAATCAGTATGAAAAACGTCAATCACCATTCTATTAAATGATAATTTTTTTTTTTTGCTGACAAGATAATTGTATCGACTATAGAACTTACGAAATGATGACTTTAAAGGAGACCGCTGATATTTTTTTTCCATCAACTTATTCCTCAATAAATTCCTCGTTTGTTTTGTCCATATATTTGCATTCTCTCTATTTTCTCATACTATAAGCCTATAGGCTTCGATTGCATTCACAGGACTATAAAAATAGTTTCTTCATTTTGGGGTGCAATTCGGTTTACAATTAGCATATAACATACTACACTGTGTGTTCAGAAGTAAATATATGAAATGTTTTGCAAAAGGAATGTATATAAGTTTATCGTAATATTCTTTGGACAAAAAAAAATTCAAAACATAAATAGAATTGCAGATTTACGAGGGTTAATCCAAAAGTTCGTGAAAATTTCTTCATATTTTATTCATTTTAAGTGAAATTGGTTGGAAATAAAAAATGAGAATATAGACACTTGCACCTTCGCTAGCCAAGGGTTTCCGATCCGATACCTACTCTACAACCCTTGGCAGATTTAGTCCGATTTAACGGGAACTTTGATTGCGCCGCCTATCGCCGTAATTGAGTTAAGTCCCTTGAAGCTCTTTAATAGTTGTCCAATGAAAATAGCTGTAACATACGTAGATCAATATGACGTTTGAAACAATATGGCGACCTCCATGCAATTTGATGTGGAATATATCCAAACAACTTCATATAGCTGTGGGCAGTGGGCACACCTCAAAAGTGGTAGAAAATATCGTTCTTCGTGGATTTTTAGTCAAGAGTTTGACACCACTTTCTACTTGTTGCCGTATCAATCATTATCAATGAGCCGTGACATTTGGTTGGCTTAAATTGATGCATCTAAAATGCGGAACACGGACTTATGTGGTCCTTTCAATTATTCTTGAAAACATATATAATTCAAAGATAAAAATTTCAAATTCATTAATCCTTTGTTTTTTAAGCATAGATCACGTCCAAGCTTTCATTCCTTGAAAATATTACTTTTATTTTGCATAAAACACGAACAGACTTTAATTCAGCAGAAAATCCTCAATTAGTAATTGTCATCATGTCACAGTAAACAGGGACAGGACTTGTTATTGTCGTCATGTCACTATAAGCTCACGAGGATATATCGACAAAGAAATGGAAATTACCATTGTTAGTTGACAATATCTCGTCTATATATCTATGTGTCGAGTAGAATATCAAAACAATAATTAAAAAGAAATGTAAAATGTAATTATCCACTTTTTTCTGAAATTCAAAGAGATAGTGAAATGTGAAACCTTGCTTTAAATCATCGAATCAAATTAACATTAATAAAAAGCACTTGGCAAGTCAAATAACAAAGGCACGAGAAGAGTAAAGAATTGCAAGAGCACAAAGAAAAGTTTACATACACTTTTATTAATGTAAGTGGTCTTGTTGTTCAAAATCTTTTTTTTTCGGAGTCAGTTTAACATTTGGAGAAGTCTAGAAAACTTTTTTCTTTTGTTTGGCAAAACTAAATTAAAAGGTTTATGAGAAGAATAAATAAGAATCAGAAATCAACTGCATTAAATTTCTTCACGACAGCGTCCAAACCTGCAAGGTATGAAGAGTAAAGGAGTTTTTAGTTAAACTGAAACAGGGTTAACGTTTTGTCATACCTACAATATTCACTAGATCTTTCAACCTTTGACAAAGGGCCATACAGAAAATTGATTTGACTTCTAAAAACAATTTGGAATTGAATAAAAATATCACGGATGGGTATTTTATTGAAAAGAGAATATTTGAGTAAGATCATCAAGACTAAATCAATTTTTTTTTGTTTCTTTCCGAGCACCGATGACATGATTTATTGAAAAGCCCACATACGGTCTGAAACGGAAGACTTCAGTAAGAAAAGAAGCTGTAGAATTATGCGCTTTAAGGTCTTTCATCGGAAACGGAAGATCTTAATAAACAGTAGAATTACTATAAGGTCTTACGACTGGAAAGGAAACCTTATCAAGAAACGGAATAAAAACAAACTTCGCTTGGGCAACAGACCTGGCATTTAATTTAAGTTCAAACTTATATAAATCTTCAGACATATATGAGTGACTTAAATGTTCTCAGCACACGACATGACATCTGACTTGGACATGTCGTCTCACCATGTTCCCGGCACACGACAAGACATTTAGCATTGTGACTTTTTCCCCAAACTGGATATTTTTTTCTTATTAGACAGTACACAAAATACAATCATCTTGCTTCATCATCTTTAGATATTTTCATCAAATAAAAACAACAAATAATAATATGAAGATACATGCAAACCATTTCAGTGAAATCGGTAAAAGGAATGGACAAATAACGTGTTCCTCTTTAATTGAAATACATTTATGTAAATAACAAGCTTTATTAGCAGACTCTTCCATGTCAAAAAGCTT